ACACCATTTACCCCTTAAGTCACACACACATATTGCATTAACATCTTACTATTACCTTATATAACATTCTCTTAAATGAAGAGCTTTTACATTCAAGCTTTATAATCTGGATTGGGATGCTCCCATTATAGTCTGTGGCTGAGAGGAAGAACTGTTATCTTTGAGTCAGAAGGTGGTTGGTTCAATCCCAGCAATTATCATGTTGATTTATCCGAGTATGAATTGTGCTTCTTGCAGGGTCGGCTCTAGAACAAATCGAATGGGGTCAATCATTTACCAAGGGGGGGCACACACTGCCGTCAACAACCAACACACAAACACCAACGCAACTTCAATTTAAAAAAACATGCTGTAAAGTCTATTGTCTTTCACACACATTGCAGGGTGTAGTGCTATTGTATACTGCACCTATGACTTGTGCAGACATGCACGGTTGTGGCACGACCACCAAAACAGAAACATATGGACATAGGCCACCATATGAAAAGTGTGCAAATGTATTTAGTATCCTATCCATGTGAACATATTTTAGGTGGGTGTGGACCTAACCTCCTCTAGGAGGGTCTGGGGGCATGCTCCCCCGGGAAGATTATTTTAAAAATATTGAAGTTAAATGCATCAATCCGGTGCACTTTGAGAGCAAAGTGAAGAGATCTATGGATAGCCTACATCTCTCAGCATCCATATGAAACAGAACTGTACACAGATTTACTTTTTCTTTATGGATATTTTACTAATCATTCCCCTTTTAAAATGTATTCTTGTGTTACTGTCCTATAGTATTTCATACCCGTTTTTCATTTATTCTCTTTTTTTTTAATAACTATAATGATCATATAAAGGTATTCCTCGCAAATACGTGTTTACATAAATGGTGACCAAACCGTTTGAGACCCACTGAGATAACTTACACTAAAGTGAACTATCTAAACACTGAGAGAGTCCTTACCTCACTGAGCTGAGGTTATACGATCCTCTCAGTCTGACAGGAGAGGACTCTCCTCCACCTTGGTGTAGAAACAGCCCTTTATATCCGTTAGCATAGCTAGCTAACCAGATGCTAACAACAACATTCCACGTTACCGCTCGCGCACTCACAAAATGCGCTCGTGCCACACACACACAGACAGAGCCGAGCTTGAATGAAACACAGAGACCCAGAAGTAGGCTACTTGTACTGTACTGTATACAGTGTTGTGCTAGTTACTGAAAACCAGTAACTAGTTACCATTACTAGTTACTTCATGTCAAAAGTAACTCAGTTACTTTACTAGTCACTTAAACCCAAAAGTAATGCGTTACTGTAAAAGTAACATTTTCGTTACTTGAAAAAATGTCTCCCATTAATGCCCTTATAGCCTTCATTTCAGTACTGTTATTGCATTGGAGAATAATACAATCTGTTGATCAACTTGACATGCATTATATGCAATCTGGATTGCATCGATATTAGCTGGCTTTCCATTTTTGTATATTCTTTCTCCAGGTAGTTGGAAAAAGTTTTCCGTCCCATATGCCGTGTGCCGCCCGGACATGCTATCATGCTAACTAGCTCCCTGAAAGCGGGTGACTCCACTGTAGCAATAGCCTGCATGTGTTCTACAACATACCGTGCAATGGCTTTATTGACTTTTCCCTGGCTAGCAGTCCCTTGGTTAAAATCCAGCCGCTGTTGCTTAGGTGGAGGTGGAGTGGCGTCGGCTGAGTCTCTGTGGTCTTAGCTACTAGCTTCGTCCCAGCATGTTGTTTTTGCAGATGTTTTAAGATATTTCAATTACTGGTTTGGGCAGTAGATAGGCTCTTTGACCCGCCAAGACACAACTTACATTTAACTAAAACGTTCTTTTCTTTGTGCTCAACAAAAGTGAAATAGTGAGAATATCTCCAGGTGGAGAAACTAGACTTGAGCTCCGCCGCCGCCATGATAGTCTTGTTAGTAAACAACACAAACACGCCCACAGCCCATCTCCGCATGTGACACAGGAAGTATCAAAGTACATTTACTCAAGTACAGTACTTAAGTACAGTTCTCATCTCTGTTCGCCTGGCTGTTGACTATATAAAAAAACTAACGCAGTAACGGAGTAACGCACCATGTAGTAACGGTAACTGAGTTACTGAATTTAAAAAGTAATGCGTTAGAGTACTAGTTACTGCCAATAATAACGGCGTTACAGGAACGCGTTACAAAGTAACGCGTTAGTCCCAACACTGTACTGTATATCATATTATTTTCGATGGCTTTACTGTATAATCAGTATAACAGATGAACAGATCGCCACTGGGCTTTCATCTAAACACACAGCCACGTAATGATAACAAAACAAAGGTCGGGGGTCATTGGTCAAGCAACACACCAATCAGAGAGCAGCAGTGAGCACACCTCAGGCTGTGTTTTATATTTGTATTCTTTATTTCTGACGTATTTCACACAAAAAACCTTTAGTGGAAACGTTTTCACTTATATGATTAAAAAAAAAAAAAAAAACGGCAAAGTGGCAAGGCTTGCCCACCCTGCGTTGGGGGGGGGCACAGTGACTCATTTGGGGGGGGCATGGCCCGCGAATGACCCCCCATGACGCCGACCCTGGCTGCTTGTTAAATGTGTGCTTTATCTCACTGCTTCAGTGGAGAAGAGCTTCAAAACCAAAGACCTCAAACCTGTTAGAAATCCCATCCATTAAACTCCTGTTACTGAGTTTTAGGGAGTAGCAAAACCTTTAATAACAACTCAACTGTTGACGCTAATAAACATTTATATCTGGCTCTTGAGGGCTCTGAAGTGAAGTGTAATTATTGCACCAAATACATCAATACAAGTAAATCACTTCATTTAATTACTTAAAAAAGACAGTAAAATGTACTGTATTACATTTTGGCAGTAACGTGCCCAACTGGCTAAGAGTCACTGAACAGACCTGTCACTCCACGCCCTAATTTCTGGATAACTTTAAGGCTTAATGTAACTTAAACAAATTAGTTGTGAAATAATTCACTCCCCTCACAGTTGTCATGAAGGGGCAAATTCATTATTAAGAGAATATGGTCTTTTGAACTACAATGGAAACATTTTTATTTCTGCTGTAAAGTTAGGCATTTTAACATTGGATTGTATGGAAATAGCTCCCTTCTGCAGCCTCCTACTACAGGCCACTAGATTACATTACATTACATTACATTACATTACATTGCATTTAGCTGACGCTTTTATCCAAAGCGACTTACAATAAGTGCGTTCGACCAATCAAATACAACTTGAAGAAAACAGAATCATATAAGTACATCAGGCTTCATAGAGCAAACACATTTCAAGTGCTACTCAACTGGCTTTAGATAAGCCAGCCCTTTATTAGTATAAAAGTGCTTCGTTAATAGTTCTATCGCTCGAAGTGGACTCGAAAGAGATGAGTTTTCAGTTTGCGCCGATGAACTACACTTCCTTGTAGGCTTCACGGTTTTGCCCCAGAGTTTCCGGTTGAGTAAAACCTGGGCTGAAGTGGAATAGTCCATTTAGCTTAGGAACCTTCCTGTCACTACCCGATCTTCCGCCCTGCCCTATCTGCAGTGCGCATGTGCGAGATGGTCCGCCATATTGGACAAGTCCATACGGCAACTCTAATAGGACACTTGACACAGTGGTGTTTGGCAAAGCACAAAAAGAAAACTCGAGAGAGTTGAGTTATTGTTATTACAACGTGACTTCACTATTATTTAACAACTCTTTTTATTGGGTTCTTTTATTTGGGGTTAAGTACATTGTCAGAATAAGTGAGAAATTGATTTAACTTCTGTTAGACAGCTATATGCCATACATTTTTGCATACATTCACAGTAAATATGTATTCAGTATGATAGCTGTCTAACAGAAGTTAAATTCATTTCTCACTCATTCTGACAATGTACTTAACCCCAAATAAAAGAATCCAATAATAAGAGTTGTTAAATAATAGTGAAGTCACGTTGTAATAACAATAACTCATCTCTCTCGTTCAGATTAATATTGTCGGGTTTATTGAGTGTTCTTTTTCTGCTTTGCCAAACGCCACTGTGTCAAGTGTCCTATTAGAGTTGCCGTATGTAGTTGTCAAATATGGCGGACCATCTCGCACATATGCACTGCAGATAGAGCAGGGCGGCAGATCGGGTAGTGACACTTCCTAACGGAGTGAAATGACCCGGAAGTCCCTCATGGCAGCTATGATAAGTGCCGTTCGAATTCTCTATGATAGGAAAGGAGGTTTCAAAATTCCTTTATAACCTCCTTTAGCTTAGGAACCACTGGACCTCCCTTGACGAAAGGAGAGGAGAACGTGCTGCCCCACAATGCCTTGCGGCTGCAGCATTTGCCATCGCACAACATTGGGCCGCTCACGGAAACGACCGATTATGACCGAGAAATTATATCATGAAAGTTACGGTGCTTATTAAGCTTTTTAAAACTGTAACTTGCCAAAGTGCTTTGTTTTGAACGTTCATCAGTATTATAATAAAAAGAGAAATATGAATGTTAGTTTTTACTGAAATGATCAAATAAAGTCAACATCTCACAGTCTTTACTGAGCTGTGTGGGGTTTGTTCAACTTTTAAAAGATGTTTGAATGGTGATATACACAGTGATAGATGTTAAGGACTAACGTTTATAATAAATACATTTGTATTTATTTTAAGATATTTTCATACAATCATACGTATTGGGATCATGTGTATTAATGTGGACCGGAGGGAGAGGGTGACGAGCAGAAGTTTCACTTTCCTTTTTATTTCAATTCCAACTTTGGTCCTGAAGAATATGTTTCTCTGTTGTCCACGTTCATAAAGCATAAAGCAACAGCATCAGAGCACGGTGCAGAGTCTCTAGATGAGTTTACAGTAGTCCCTCGTTCTTATTGAACATCCATGTTGTAGTCCGCTGTATAGAAAACTGTAGTTTCCATAGTTTCCCCACAGCAGAAGACGCACATTTATGACGTCCGCTGGCGCTTCATAAATACGTCGGATAGTGAAAGTGCAGTCGGATTCTCTAAAGTACCGCAGTCTCTTCTCCTAAATCCTTTTGGATTCTCCTATCCACTATCCCTTAACCCCGTGACGTTCCACTCAGATGTCAAGGAATAGGAGATATGGTTAGTACTTAGGAGCTGATTTTTGGACTATTCGACTGTAACCGGGTTATTTTAGGGGACATACTTCCGCTCCCTCCTCAGAAGCAATCCAGACGATCCTCTGTTTATTTCACGCTGCTGCACTTTTCTACAGGTCAGTACATGATGAAAATGATCGATGTTAACTTGTGTAAACAAGGTATAATGTTAGAGATGTTTAAGAGAGTGTGTCAGAAAGTTTTGAGCATGTTTGACATAGTAACGGTACTTTAAAAATACTAAACTGTCGGCAACTATAGATGCCGTTTTCGCGATCTTCAGCCGCACCGCGCCGTGTGTAAATGTGACCTGAGCAAAGGCTCGCAGGCAGATTTGCTGCTGCGCACGGGTGATATGTTTCGAGTCTTGCAGGCACATCGCCTTGTCTTTTTAGTTTATTAAAGGTCCCATGTCATGGCCATTTCCACTGATCTTAATTCCATTGTTGCAGTTACTAAAATAGATTTATACTGTGCAATTTTCCAAACTCACATTGGTTTTGCATACAGCATCTCTGTAAAGTATGTGTATTTACTCGCCATTAACGGCTCGTTGCAATAGAGTCTGTTTGCAGACCACAGCAAGGAGGCGGATCCTAAAGGGGGTGGATCCTATAGGGGGCGTTTCCTAAAGGGTTATGAGCCCCGCCCCCCACGTATTTCTTAAAGGTATATGACGCTCTCTGTTTCTCATTTATTTTAATGCTTTGAATTAATCATAAACGAACTTTGAAAAATAATAATTATAATTAATTTGCATAAAGAATGAAGAGTATACAACCCACAGAGAAGACACATTAATTGACCTATTGACAGATCATAATGAATACAGAGTCAATTTGATTTAGTTTATCATAACATAGGATACATTAAACTCATAAATTGTAGGCATATCATTTTTTACTGTTTGTGCAGTGGTAGTAATTATTATTCAAATCAATCAACTACGTTTTATGGAAGATATTGCTGTATATCATTTAACAACATGAGTAGAGGTTTCTGTACACCTAAAATACTGAAGTTGAAGTTACTGTCCTGATGTGTATCATTCATTTGTTCATGTTGTGTCTGGTGGTAAGATTAATTAATTAATTAACGTATTTATTATTTTTGAAACGTTACAATACACATCAAATACTAAACATGAAATGTATAGTACATACCAATACATTGTACAAAGGAACATATATACAATACATACAAAGAGGAAAGTCTTCATTAAACATAAACATTTTTTTGGGTGTTTCCAAGATAATACAACAGTACACAACAGTACACTAGCATCATGCTAAGTGCTGGTTAGCATCACAGCATATACGCTAACCTTAGGTCAATTAGATGATCAGCTTTGGTAACACAAATCAGTATTGTTACCGAGCCTGATAATCTATTGACCTATCTAAGCTTAACGTTATTACCAGGGGTGCACATAACTTTTTTGCCCTGGTTCTCAAAGGAGCACCTGGAGATGTTGCTTGGTGCTCATCCTTAAAATGAAATAAACCGTAACTTTTGAGGGGGTCTTGACTTTATTTGCCAGACACACGGCACTGAACACACATGCAGAGGTGAACACAGAACACACATGCAGAGGTGAACACAACACAAGACAACATTAGCACGACCAGTAATCCTACAAGCTGTCATCACTACCCTCCTGACTGTTCTCCTCACTGTCTTCCTCTCTGTCAGACATGGTAGCTGATGATGTAGGCCTACTACTTTCTCTCTGGTTGAGTCTGCGATTAGCTGCTTGCATCCACAAGTCAACTCTGGGTTTGGGTCGAAAGTCTCTGTTGTCATCTTAGACAAGTGGATGTAATCAAATAAGTATGTGAACATAACCAATAGCCTACCATAGCCAATAACAAATTAATGTAACTTATTTTATTTTTGTTGTTCATTCATATCTTATTTTACCTTAACATTTATTTATTTATGCATTTTTTTTAAATCTCGTTTTAAAGGATATTTTTGGTTACTGTCCTATATTATACATTGGAATGATTTAAAACCTGTTTATCCCAATAATTACAAAGGAGTGCCTTGGAAATATGTGTTTACATAAATTGTGACCAAACCATTTGAATTTAGACTAAGAGTCCTTTACCTCACTGAGCTGTAGTTAACTTATCAGCCTCTCAGTCTGACTGGAGAGGACTCTCCCTCCACATTATTGTAGAAACATCTTCTTCTTATCTCCGTTAGAGCAGCTAGCACGGCACCAGATTATAATAACAACAGCGCTGGTACCACCCTCCCTCTCTCCCTCGCTCACTCGCATTTTGTCTGTGAGCGGCGGGCGCCAGATAAGCCAACATCCCCCATTTTCATCACTTACAGCGCCCATCGTACAGGGCAAATTAAAGGTGGAACCGGGGTGAAAAGGGTGTTACATTTACTTAATTGTGAATATTGTTACATCAAGGCCGAAAATTAGGATGAGCCCCAACGGTCAAAATGTTTTTTTCCCTCCCAGAACTGCCAGCGCAGCACCTCCCCAGATCTGGCACCCTAGGCGAACATCTAGCCAGTGCTACGGGCCGGCCCTGAGTTCATATCATGGTTCATATGCAACTCGCAAATATCTTTCTCTCTCTCTCTCTTCTCTCTCTCTCTCATCTCTCCTCTCTCCTCTATTTTCTCTTTTCTCTTCTCTCTCTCCTTCTCAATGTTGGTACGCAAATGCGCTTTGTTTCAAATGACCCGGTGCTCTGTTTTTGGCGGAGGTGCGCATGCGCACCTGCGCACCAGTTATGTGCAGCCCTGGTTATTACAACAGTAGAGTAGGCCCGGTTGCAAACGGGACTATAGGCCAACGTGTTTATAGCATCATGCTAAGTTAGCATTTAATACCACAAACATTTTTACCACATACAACTATTATTTACTTTATTAACGCTTAACGAGGTTGGACAGTCGATGTTGTACTTTGATAACGAGACAATTGTGTGTTAAGAAAAATGACATTACAATAAATAGAAACATGCATCTCTGGAAAATACTATTACCGCTGTTTCAACGTGTTGTTCGGCCATCTTGAAAGAACGAATGACTTCTTCTGCGAGGATTTATAAAAGCAGCTGTAATCCCTTAAGTTGCATTACTGCCACCTACAGTATGTATTTCTGCTGAGTGTCATTATTCTATTGGATATCTATAGGATCCTCCCCTTATAGGAACTGCCTGCGGTCTGCATCCAGACCCATCTCGCTTGTTGGAGCTCTTGCCCCCCCCACCCCCCCTCCCTGTGAGCCCAGTGTGCTCCGATTGGTCAGCTCGGCCACTCTGTTCTGATTAGTCAACCACCAGAGAGGCTCCGCCCATGTCTAACAGTGCTTTTTTCGGCTCGCTCTGAGCGGAACATCAGGCGTCGGTACAGCCGTATATTTTATACGCTAACTAACCGAACTGTACCTGCAACTGTTGTTATAGAAGAGTAAGTTATTTTGTACCTGTAATAAACTACTACTGTTTGATGAAAAATCAAATCATGGTTTGCTATATGCATGATATGTTATAGGAGCAAATAATTCAGGGAAGAAAGGCTACTAAGTATTTCCATCAAACTTTATTTTTAGAAATGTACAAAATGAACATGTGCAAATATACACATACACTGTATATCATCCATTCCTCCCCTTATAGGCGTTTTCGGCATCTTGCCTATCGCAGCTTTGTAAGCTGCTGCCGGGGCTTTTTAGGGCGAGGCATCAGAGTGGTCATCCCGTGTGTGTGTTGTCCGCCAGATACGCCAGGAGTTTCCTGATCTGGCTGGACGAAATCAAATGCAAATCACAAAATATTAGAGAAACTTAGTTGTTTTAGATTCGTTAGTAGTAGCTGTGGTAGGAGTGTGTATCTATCTAATCAACACAGTTAGCTTGCCAGCTAATATGCTAACCTACGTTTGCTAGTTGTTCAGTGTAATATGCCAATCTACTATGAACAACAGCTAGTCTAGGCTAGCAAGAACATGTTTACAATTGCAATCTTATACGGGTAGTCTGCTACGTTCGGTCATTCATTGTAGCTGGCATGAAAACAATGTTTTCCCTAGCATGTCTAGCTCTAGGTAGCCTTCTTGTTTAGCGATGTAGCTAGTGCTGCATACCTGGACTCACATTCAGGTTCAAGTCCTGACTCAAGTCCAGAGGTTCAGGTTCAGGTCCGGACTTATAAGTCCGGACCTGAACCCATGGCTTGTGTCAAGTTGTGTGAGTAACTAAAGTGAACTTATTGTGAGCTAATTATCAATTGAAAATTTACTCATAATCAACTCATCACATCACTCATGTGTCTACATTTCTCTACAAAGTACAAATGTAAAAAAAAAAACTTTTTGCCACTTAGTCTACAAATGACTTATGACAGCAACTACAGTGAACTACTACAAAGTTCAAACATTTATTTCATTTACCAAACTAAAGAAACCAAACAGTCCCTGAGCTGACTGAGCCTAAATCCCTAAAACGTTGCTGAAAGGTAGAGTGTAGAGTAGACTATACACATTACACTGTTACACACCTACTATACAGTATAGCTACACTGTAGTGACTGACTACAGTCAGAGTGTACTGTACTATCTGTACACCATTTCTTTTCTACAACTCTACATGTGTACATTATACACGCAGTGTGCGAAAAAGTACACGTCCCACCGTCCTGGACGTGTTATTTACAATATCGGACAAGTAGATCTTTCAATTGACTTGTCCGGCGGACAAGTGACGTTTTTCGCCCTGATTTATTGACAAATTATTGATAAATTCAGTTTACAAAAGGCAGAACTCATCCGCAAATTGTCCGTGTCCGCCATTGTTCGTTTAGAAATGTTAGTTTCGGTTCTGCTTGTCGATTCCTAAGGAAATGCATCTCGCCGCTTTCTGTACAGTTAGGCGGGGCGGGGCGGGGCGGGACCATGGATGTATAATAAGTGGCAGGGTTGGGAAGCAAAACTCGGTTCCGAGTAGGAACAAATAACAATTGCATCAATCCCGGGACCGGACAATTGTTATTTGAGTTGTGAGGACAGGAGGCGAGGCCGAGCCCCGCGGACTGCAGCTCTCTCTATGCTCGGTATCAGCTGATCGCTGCACGGTGCAGCTCAGCGTCT